TTTCCCTGGTACTGCAAAAGTTAAAGAGACTTTCTTGCTTTTCCTCAAGAATCACATCCTCATCTCCTCAAAGTCGGATCTTTTTTAATCTGGCCAGAGGCCTCCTCATCACTTCCTGATGAGAAACACAGGAGACCTAACAACAGCCCTTTTAAAAACAACATCCTCGATTCCACTAACTCATTAAACAGAGAGAGCCTGAAAAGTGCCAACACTCCTATGAGAAAAGACGAGAGAGAGAGAGAGAGAGAGAGAGAGGAAAGAAAAAGCAGGTTATTTATAACGCCAGGCAGCATTAGGGTCTATTCAGTCTCTCCTGCAAACTGCCTGCTGCTAGGAGGTCACTCCCCAAAAAACCTGCCGAGCCCGTGACCTGCAAGCACAATATTTGATCTGGGATCTAGGGCGGGCACCAGCCTTTGCAAATTGGGAGACTCACTCACATGCTCCTTAACACCCGGGCGATCCGGGAGAAGAACAGCCAGGCTTTGGGAAGGAGGCTCTTAGCTTGGTAAGTCAAACTCTATATTTATTTATTGTTTTTTTTTCTTTTTTTGAGTTTGATTTCCATACCCTTGCTGGGCAGGTGGTATGACGCTGAGCGAGGGTGCCCCGTGCAGCGCACGCCCGCGGCATGGGTGGCACAGCGCTGCTCAAACTAATGCCGCATCCACGTTGCGGGGACCCCCCTCCACTTTGGCAACTCATTACATACTTGTCACAGGAGGACGAGTTGGGGGATGCACATATATTTTTTGATAGATACCTGGGCTCGCACAGGTGCCTGCTCGCAGCCCCCCTGGCTGGTGCCACCCTCCCAGCAGAGCGCAGCTCTGCCCAGGTGGGCTGGGCAAGGGGAGAGCTTGTTTTATGCCTGGTAGAAGACAGCGGTGATGGGGGGAAAATGCAGAGACCGCAGCTGTCCGAAGGCTGCGATGCCCTTGCTCCAAAGACTGCTCCATATCTCGGCAAGAAGCTGACCCAGTTAGACCAGCAGCCTTTGGGAAGCGAGTGAGGGGATTCAGAGATGAAATACTATCATAGCTGGCATGCTCAGCTCAGATGCCACCCCAGAAATGGGGCTGAAGCTGGCTGGGGATGGGAGAAGCAACATTTAAAAAAGGCAGGGGAGAAACGGTGTCTGCTGAGGACAGGCTCTAGGTTTAGCCATTCATTGAAGGGGGCACACTGAGAAAGGTGAGGGACCCCTTGGGTCAGCCCTTCCCCAGCACAAAGAGACCCCAGGGATCGGGCAGCCAGGCAGCTTAGCCACCCGTCAGCGTGGCTGGAAGGAGCCCCCGTACAGAGCGGCTCTGGTATTTTACCAGGCAAAGTGCCCTGGAATGGGAGGAGGAGAAAAAACTAGTCTGCAACTGCCTCAGTGCCAAGCTCTCGGCATGCACGGAGCATCCCTGAGCACCACGCCTCATCTGCCCTCAGCTGCAAGAGTGTGCGGAAAGTACAGAAGGAGGGAGAAAAAGAGAAGGAGAGGGAAAGGGAGCCCTGCCTGTCCACCGAGGTCTCAATCCCCCTTTTCTTCCAGTGAGCGGCCTGCCAGGGTGCCTCGGTGGCAGCAGGCTCTCCAGCTCGGAGCAGAACTGTGCCCTCTTTGTGTGCTGGGCTCAAAAATAGCACCGGGGCTAGAAATACCCTCTCACCACTGCTGCCCTGACCGCTGTACTGGGGCTAGGGTGCATCAGGCCAGGTACAAGCAATCCATGCAGCTCCCTGGGAGAAGGAATTAGGTGAGGGAGGAAGGAACGCACCCTCAAGGATGAATTTTGGGCAGGCCAAGGGTACAGCATGGGAATGCCCCACGGGTGCAGCAGGCACCAGTGAGGCATCTCCACGGGGGCACTGGTGACCTAGCTGCAAGGTGCTGACAGCCAGCCAGCCAAAGGGAGGAAGATGAGCAAAACAGCAATTTTGCCATTTGCACAGCCGGTTGAGGGATGGGGATGCAGTGAGGTTTCATCATGCAACCTTGCAGCCAATGCTGGCATCCGATCCTGGATTTCCCCAGCACCAAGGGAGAGTTTTGGGTAGGTGCTGGAGTGAGAAACCCTCTGCCCATGTCACATAACACAGGTCCCAAAGTGCCAGACAGCCAGCTGTGGATGAGAAGCACCCACTGGCACCATGGTCCTACAGCATGGCAGACCTTCCTCCAAGAGCCCGGAGGAGGGACGCGGCCTCCTACGTTGGCTGTGCTCCTGCTGTAGGAGCAGAGCTGGCAGAAGGCACGCCAGCAGCCCCGCGCTCCCAGCCACGTATATAGGAGCCAGCAGGCAGGAGAGACTCCGCTCCCCCTCTGAACAGCACAGCCCAGAGCGTTTCCTGGAGGCATTTCAAGCCGTCTCACTCGCATGCTATCCCGTGTGCTAGGTTAGTCACCAAGGGAAGGATGCAGGGCCGTAGCTAGAGTCCTCTCCAGCCTCCAGTGCACCACGCCGGGCACGGACGGTGGCCCTTCCGGGTGAGCGGGTGTCAGTTCTGCTCCGCAGAGGCCGAAGGGGCTCTGCAGTGGGTTACCTGGTGTGTCTCTGACTGGCCAAGGGGTACAAGGCACAGACCAGAAGAGAAGTAAGATTTTTCTGCTTCATGAACTAAATCCCCATGCACTAACCCCTGTCTCCCTTACCCAGACCTCTCCTTGTCTCACAGCAGCTAGATGTATGAGCTTGCAACCATAGTCAGGGAAAGCCTGGGGGAAACCCTTCTGCCCTGGAGCAGAACAGTTTTGGATCCAATTTTGGATTTAGCCCTAGAGAGACCGGTTTTGATAAACATGATTAGAACTCAAGGTTTCGTGTTGGCTCCCTTTCCCATTTGTCATGCTGGCCTCAAAGGGCAGGGGGATGATACCGCTTTGATGTCGGGTCAGGAGAATTAGCTGAACTCGGAAAATCTAGGCTTAAAAGTCTTTTAATTTCAAAATAAGCCGGAACTTGTTTACTGGGATTTACAGCAGTCCCTAGCAGTATGAACATCCTGCATTTTTGTGGGGGAAGGGAGAGCTGGCTGAAACCCATGGCAAATCACGTTGCAAGCAAGCATAGTATAAATATAGCTGCATAGAAACATGCCACGATCTTCATCAACCTGTTCTTGCAACTCCTGCTTTTTTTCCTATTTGGAGCAGGAGTAGAGCCTGGTCGGATGATGCCCATCTTAATCAATGAACTCACTGAGCCAGCCACCACGGCCTCTCATGCTCTTTCTTGGCAATAAGAAACACTTCAAATATTGGTTCCTCTGGGGATGCTGCCTGTGGCGTCCAGCAGGACACTGCATTGAGGGCCATACCTTGGGCCGTGGCTGCGAGCACCCCCCGAGCTGCAGACCACCCGTGTTAAATATCCACGCAACAAGTAGGCACCGAGCCTGGGTTTTAGTGCCAACCCTGCCCTCACCTGCTTGCTTTGGTGGTTGAGTCCTTTCTCCTCCCTCCTGTGTACAGCCAATATAGGCATATTGCAAATGTTTTGGGGCAGAGTTGTGTTTCCTTACACATACTTTGTCCTGAGACTATGGGCTCTCAATCTCACTTCTCTACCCAGCCATGACAGAAATGCTAGTAGTAAATTTTTGCAAGCAAACATCCACTGAAATAGAGGTTTCCAGAAAGCATGAGGTGAAAGGGTGGAGGTATGGTAACTTCAAACAGAGGAAGTGTTTGCAGGCACTCTTTTTTTTACTAGGGTTCACACAGGACCCCTGTTACTCCAACTCTGCTGCTGATTACCACCAGTCTAGCACCAGAGCTGAGGTAAGACCCAAAAATCTCTGAATTCCCAGGCTACGGGGTGCAGCTCGCCTGCTTCTACCATGTATGTCAGACCTGCAGTTGCTGATGTTCTCCTCCCACCCACCCCATGTTTCTCCTCCTCCCTACAGGTTCCTCCAGGGTCAGCATCATGCATTGGGCTACAGTCCTGATAGTTGCTGGGCTCTGCGGAGTCTCCCTGGGCCAGTACGACGAAGAAGAAGATTTGGCTTGGTTACAGTACTATATGCGACAATCCCGGATGTCGTCCTATAACTACGTGCCATACTATGAGGATGAAAACACGCCTTATGTTTACTCTTACCTTCCGGCTCCAGATACGGAGGCAGAGCCTGGCCCTGAACCTCAACAGGCCCCTACCCGAGAATGTCCCCAAGAGTGCGACTGTCCCCCTAACTTCTCTTCAGCCATGTACTGTGACACTCGCAATCTGAGGTATCTGCCCTTCGTGCCTTCCAGGATGAAATACGTCTACTTCCAGAACAACCAGATCACCTCCATCCAGGAGGGGGCTTTCGACAATGCCACAGAGCTGGAATGGCTTGCACTGCACAACAACCAGATTACCAGTGAGAAGATGGGCAAGAGGGTCTTTGCCAAGCTCAAAAATCTGGAGAGGTTATACATGAACAACAACAACCTAACCAAGATGCCCAGCCCCTTGCCCCGGTCCCTGAGAGAGCTTCACTTGTCTTACAATCAGATCTCCAAGGTGCCAGCCAATGCTTTGGAGGGCCTGGAGAACCTCACAGCCCTGTACCTCAGCCACAACCAGATTTTTGAAATGGGAGCATCCCTCAAAGGGCTCAAGTCCTTGATCCTTGCTGATCTGAGCTACAACCACCTCAGAAAAGTCCCTGATGGCCTCCCAATAGCCCTAGAACAGCTCTACCTAGAGTACAACTACATCAACTCCATCCCTGATGACTATTTCAGGGTCTCTCCCAAGCTGCTCTATGTGAGGATGTCCCACAACAGCCTGACAAATCAAGGTCTCTCTACCAACACTTTCAACAGCAGCAGCATCCTTGAGCTGGACCTCTCTTACAACAGGCTTCAGAAGATCCCGCGAGTCAGCACCAACCTGGAGAACCTCTACCTTCAAGGGAACCAAATCAATGGTGAGCAGATCGCTGTCAATCAAAGTACGCTGGTGCAGGGGTGGCAACATTGCATGGTGGTCAGTGCAGCAACGAGGACACAGTCTTTTCATCCCTGCTGGAGTCTGCCCAGAGTATTGGTCTAGGCAGGAAACTGCATTCTGGGAGACTTCTGCCCCACAGGTGGCCCTTATCAAGATAGGAACAGGGCCTGTTGTGTCCCAGCACACACCTGGAGCCGAGACTCCCAGCTCTGAACACTCCCCTGCAGGCACTTGCAGTGATCAATTAAGCTGTTAAACTAATTTTCTCTAGCAGTTAGCAGACATCTCAGCATCTCCTGGTGAGGGACACCAGGGACCACACCCCAAGAAACCAGCTGTGGGCAGAAGCTGCATGCACAACCTGGGGAGGGGAGTACAGCTTTGCCTTGGCATAACACATGGGCTGAGGGGTTATTGACAGAGGGGACAGAGATCGGAGGGTACCCACAGCCACAATCACTTAACGTGGGAACGCGCATCGCCCTGACCAGCACTAATGCAGTGGGAAAGGGGCCAAAGGGTGTGCCACAAGGTACCTCGAGATCTGCAGCACTTGGAGCCAGCAGGACACAAAGCAACCCCACAGCAGAGGTTGTCCAAGCATGTTAGCCTCTGTGGGCTTTGACAGAGGGCACAGCATGCCTGCCTTGGCCCAGAGGCTGGCTGACGATGGGGGTCCAGAACCCACCCCGAGAACGGCTGGGGTTGCTCTTTCTGTAGAGGGATCCCATGAGACATCAGGGAGGGAGGAAAAGGCTCAGCTTTTTCCAGCCCCTTTGCCTGTCTCCCTCTCTGTTGGGATCCAGCCACCTCTCTTCACCAGCAGTGCTTCCAGTGCTTATTCTCAAACCTTCAATAATCTGCCGGGTGATGTGGCCTCAGGCTTTCCTCACGCAGGGCTCTGACAAGTCCTGTCACCAGGCTCCCGGCACAGCCCAGCATGCAGCCCGCAGCCCTGGTGGGAACCAAGCCTGAGCAAGCCAGTCCAGTGCCTAAGGGGTGTCTGATACCCCCGAGGGGCCTTTCTCCTTCTCTCATCCAAAGAGCCCCCCAGGGTGCATCTCAGAGGTGCAGCTTTCTCAGGTGGCTCTGCTGGAGCTGGTGCTTGGGGAACCGCATGTCCCTGCGGTCATCACAGTCTGAAAGCTGAACCGTTCATCCCTTCTGCCGCAGGCCAGGGCCCGCAGCAGACAGGAGCTCGTCTTTATTAGAACCATCAACACAGTGTCTTTTGCCAGGACTAAAATTCACTCTGTTTAATACACAAATAAATAAAAAGAACAGATTGTTCTGGAGTTGCTGTTTTTATAAACAGCTACAAAAAACAGACTGGAACTCCTGGAAAAATCCACTCTTGCTTCTTTCACCTGCTGGACCCTGAGGTCAGGGCTAGGAGAGGTGAGAAAGCCCCTGAGCAAGCCATGCAGCACAGCTCAGGATAAGGAAGCATTAATGAAGCCATCAGCTGTTGCAGGAGAAACACACAACCCCGCACTGGGGAACCGACAGAAATACAAAAACAAGAACAGATTCCCAAATGCTTGCTTTCAAAATTTGTAGCTGTTAAAGTCTGCCCACAAATGCCGTGAAACCACCGCGGATCCATTGGCAGTCTTTTTCCAGCTGCAGGCTTTGCAGCCAACCTTTAACACTTACCAAGCTCCTGGGGAGCCCTGTGCCCCACAGTGGGGAGCACCGCAGCGGCAGCACAGCGGCCCCGCTACCTCCTTGCACCCGGGAGCTGCTCAGGGAACTGCTGTTGCCCTCTCCTGGGCTGACAGCGATCTCCTGCAGCATCTCTCTGGCGGAGAAAAACTCCTGGCCTCTCCTCGGAGGCCCTTCCAGAGAGACCGTGCGAAGTTTCATAGCCCTTGTGAGATAGGCACGTTCAGCCCCGATAGGGAGTTTAAGGGTTGAACTCTAGACTTGTCACTAATGTGCTTTAGTCTTGCTCTGCGTGGTCCTTTCTGACTCCCTGGGCAGGCTGGTCCCCGCGGTGGACGCGCAGCACCAGGCGCCAGGGAAGCTGCTCCTTTCCCCAAGCAGCGCCGAGGCCTGGAGCTTTGCTGCCCTCTAGTCCGTCGCTTCTCTCCCAAAACCTGCACGAAATCTGGAGTCTGCTCCATGTCCTCCCTCTGAACCCAGACCCAGCAGGGACAGTCTGACAAGGAGCAGCCCCAAACTGCTCTGCGCGGCAGCCCCGCTGTCCCGCACTCACCCTGCGGCCGGGAGACACAAGCCACATGGTTATCCTAAAGCTCAGTGAGGCTCCCAAGTCTTTCCAACACGTGCCCAAGTTTTCCTGCCTCGGGTAGGAGAGGTGCTCACAGAAATGTGTCCCAGCTGAAATGAGAGGGGATGTTTGCTGGCAGGAGGTTGCCCCTGCAGGGCCCAAGCCCCACGTCCTGCAGGGACCGGGAGGTCCTTCCTTCCAGACACGCTGCCTGTGCGGTCCCGCTTCTGTCTTGGTGGCTCGGGGAATTTGGGACGGGAGGGTATAGTGTGTGAAGACTCATCAGAAAGGCTGCAGACGCAGTTCCCAGTCAAAAGCAATGTTTTCATCCAACTCCACCCATGCTGCTCTTCTTTTTTCTACCAGCACTCAGAGCAGCTGAAGGGAGACAGAAAGGACGGCCAAGTGCCCGGGCCATGGGAGCAGGACCAGTGCCCTGTTATGTGGCTTTTAAACACTTGAATATGCACAAAGTGTTATTGGCTGCTTCTGACTCCAGCTAGAAGAATTAGTTACTCTTTTAGCTAAAGAGGGAAGGGTATTCAGTCAAAATTTTCAGGAATAATTGGTGATCCGGGGGTGCTTTCAGTTTTTTCCTACCCATCTTAACAGAGGCTGACTGTCAGAGGTTGGTACCTCCAGACCAGGCTCACAGTGTTCCCCCAAGGTCAGTCGCCTCCCACAGTGCTGACCCACCTCCATGCACCTGGATCTCCAGAGAGCTCTTAGGAAGGCTGCTAGGTCCACATGCCTCTAGGTCCAGCTTTGCCCTCTGGAGCCAGGCAGGGAAATGCAGGGGCCTGGCTGCTATCCGAGGTTTTGTGGATCTGATCTGTCCAGACATTGCTGATCTCCAGCGGGGCATCACGCAGGTTAGTTAAGGAGGCTGTGGCCAAAGCCAGCTCTCAGCTCTCGGTCTCCTTTTCCTGCAGAGTTCTCCATCAGCAGCTTCTGCACCGTCGTGGATGTCATGAACTACTCCAGGCTCCAGGTGTTGCGGCTTGACGGGAATGAGATCAAGCGGAACGCCGTGCCCCCAGACGCCCCGCTGTGCCTTCGACGTGCCACCATCATCGAGATCTAGCCCGGCCCCCGGCTCCCTCCCCGTCCTCAGGACAGTGCTCCCCCGCTCCTGGGGAGACTCTCACTCCCATTTCAATGCAGCTTGACAGTTCGACTTGGCTTCTGCAACAGAGCAATAAGGGTACGCCAACAACAGCCCACGCAGGTGCCCGGCCGGGTGGGCAGGATCCGTTCATCCTCAAACGCTCCCCCTTCCTGGCTCTCTGCAGGGAGGGGATGGTCTCGGCACCGTTCCCCCCGGCTGCCGTCCTCCAGAGCGCTGCTGCACTGCAGGCTTTTGCCACCCGCCGCTTCCACCGCTTTGGGTGGGACACAGCCCATCTCCAAAACGTGGCATCGAGCAAGCAGCTCTGGCTGGGAGGGTTTCAGGTGTGCATCCTCCAGAATGAGCAAATTTAAAATGATTCATCCCAGGCCAGGTTTTTGGCCTCAGCGGTCCCTGGGAGGTGCCAAGCTGCACAGGTAAAAGGTTAAAGACCTCCCAGCTGCCAACAGCCCTCACGCTAGGATGGGGGAGAGCAAGTCCACGCTTTCCTCTGTCTGTCCCCCCGCCCCCCTCCAACAGCCTCCTGCTCCAAACAGCTCCAGCGATAAAGCTAATGAATGCGATGAAGACGTCGCTCACATCCTCCTCCGAGGCCGCTGGCGCAGGCCGGCGAGGTGAGGGATGGGGCAGTGTTTCTGCAGTGGGAACGTCTCCCATCGCCGCAGCATGCCGGGGGGGCTCAAAGCAGCGGTCTGGGTCTGCATCACCCCCTTGGCCCCGTGCTCCCCCGCCACTCATGGGCACTAGGCGTTGCAGCAAGGGAAGCCCAAGGAGCGCAGGCAGCTAGCGCCGTTTTGCCCGAGCGCGCTGGGTTCGCCTGGGTTTAACAAGGGAAGGAGTTTACCACTCCTTACCTAGCCCTGGGACCTAATGCCCAGCTGGCTGTGACCACCTCGTGCTCATCCTTGCTGCACCTCTTGGCTCCCCATCGCAATTTCCAGCACAGGGCACGCGTGGACATGGCATGTTTGGCTCCATTCTTCCCACCAGCTTGGTTGGGAGCTCTTCCCCCACCCAGGCACCTGGGGTCTCCCATTTAAACAAACAGCAGCACCATGTGCATCAGCAGCACATTTACGTTACACAGAAATCAAAACACTTGCTTGGTTCCTTGGACGAGCTAGTTTGGGGACCAAAGGGGCATCTGAGCTCTGGAGATGACTCGCAAAGCTGAAGAGGTCTCGTAGACCCTCTGCATTTAAACTGCATGCTAACACTATAGAAACAAAAATCCAAAAAAACCTGTACTATCACCAACGCATGAACTGTAGATATCATACTGACAAATAAAGCCCTTTCTGTAACTGCATGAAACGTGTCCGAGGAATCCCAAACACAGAGGCCAAGTTCTGAACATCTTGGTGGTGATCAGAGGTGAGCTGGAAAAACGGTCCTGGACTTTCAGGGTTTCAAGTGCAATTTATCAGAAGAGATTAGTAAATTTGGGTGCCTAGCAGGAGAGGCGTAGTATTTTCCATGGAGAAAAAGCCAGCTGTTTTCCAGTCTTGAGTTAAATGTCTGTAAGTGCAGCTACCCAAAAACCAGCTATTTAAAGAAAAGAGAGGCCATACAACTCGGACGCTAATTTTGCCATCAGACCCTCACCCCAACACTCCCAAGCGCCAAGGACAGGTTTGCACACCCAGGTCGTGCCCTCCGAGGTTGAACTGTATCTGCTCACGTCCCATATGATCCCACCCCAGAGCTGCCTGTCCTGCAAGGAATGAGCAAATTCCCTTGAAAAAAAGCTCTCTAAACGCCCTCCTCCAGCACCGGCGGCGAGAAACGCACGGCAGCCCTTGCCGGCAAGCCCCCAGCGCTGCAACACCCGCTTTTGCTTCTGGGCCCCAGTTTCCCATCCCTCTCGCAGACCAGATTTTTCTGCAAACATAAACCGGGCTGGATTTGCCGTCTAGTGGTTGTAGCAGACACTGCATGCTCGTCTGCTGCCTTCCGCACGCTGGGAGCTGCCGCTCGCAAGCGCATCCCATCTGGGGTCCGTGCAAGAACAGTTAGAGAAAAGAAAAAACACACAGTGAAAACTGTCAGTTAAGAGCGAGGGAAGAGAAAGGATGGCAGTGCAACAGGCAAAGCACTTTTGGCCTGTATTTTCTGGCTGCTTTCATGTTCTCCAGTGTTTGGCCCCGCTTATTTTTAAGAGTTAAGCTGGAGGATGCTTAAAAAAATCCACATGGGCAGGATTTTTATAGCTCTGGAATTGCACAGAAAAATGCTGTTTTCCAGACTGCGCCCCTCTCCTCTGCGCACCGGGGGGCTGTTTCACCCAGGGTTTCTCAGAGCCGCTCTCCCATACACACAAGGTCACGTTCCTGGTGGGTTGGAGGGGATCACGGCGTAAGGAGACAAGTCGTTTCCTCCTGCAGCCAAACCCTGCTCCCAAGGGAGCCACAAATCCCACCAGAGGCCCCAGGCCACGGCTCGGGAGCGGGGGGGGGGGGCCTGCGGGGAGCCCCGTGTCGAGGAGCCTTGGGGCCGTCACTAGGTGTCGGCATTGCCCATCGCATACAGCCTTGCTAGGGCTGGAGGGGGACGGCAGCGGTGGCCCCGGCTTTCCCTGCCCTGGTCCCCGTGTCCCCAGAGAGCAGCACCAGGGCTGGGGAGCCGGCTCTGCTCCCAGGGGTGCCTGCACCAGGAGCAAGCTGGGAATAAAACCCAGCTCCCTCCGAGGGGAAAGGGATCAAAGATGGGTCCCCCCACTGAGCCGACCATGGGGACACGGGGCTCTCCCAGCACAGGGGAGCCAGGGTCTGGGCCAGGGTGGGATGCTCAGCAGCACACTGAGCCCCCAGGTGCCCTGTCCCACCCTGTGCTGCTCGCTGACCCGTGTCTGAGCCTCTGCCGCGACCACAGCGCAGACATGCTGCAAGCCCCACTCTCACAAAAGCGCCTGTTGCCACCCAGGACCAGCCTGGTTCCCACAGTCCAGCTCCATGGGGAAACCAGCTGGAGGCAAGACCCAAGGCAGGTTTTCCCTGGAGGGGACCAGGCTGAGCATGAAACCCAGGCAAAGGCTCAGGAACAACCCCAGTGCATTAAGCAGCATGCTCCAGCCCTGCTGAAACACACCTGGGAGCAAATCACCTCTATGCCATCCATATACACCACAGCCCATCATCCCTGCTGCCAGCAGCAGCATCTAGCCCAGATCCAAGCAGGCCAGGTGGGATGGGGACAGGAGCACCAGCACCCAGCTCCACACCACGCACCACTGCTGCTGCACGTGCAGGATGCCTGCAGGATGCACTCTCCAAAACCATGGAGCACCACCTCCTTTCCCACACTCGGGAGCTGCCCAGGCACCCACACACACTGCTCTTTGTTCCCACCTCAAGCTTTTGCCCTAGAGCATCAGCACCCCTTCCAAAATCAACACAGGCTGCGAGCCAAGGGATGTTTGCACAGGAGGCCCCTGTTTGCTGACCCAGCCCCTCACCTCCAGCACAGCAAGGCCCCCCAGCAGGGCTGCTTTCACTGGGGCCTGGCAGATGCTTTACTCCCTTTGGGCCATTGCAATTGCTGATTTACACCAGCTGGGGGATTGGGACTGCATCAGCTGGGATTGGGTCTGCACCCCAAGGGATGGAGGAGGGGGCCTGTCCCCCAGATACCCCTTTGCATGCTCCCGGGCTCGCGCCCTGTTCGGAGAAGGAAAAGCCCATGGGAACGCCGGGGGCACAGCGTGACCCCCGGGGGACTGCCCGGGGGGAGGAAAATGGGGTGCAAACCCCAGCGGGCTCTGCAACGGCTCCGGGGATGCAGCAGCGCTGCCGCCCGGGCGGACTCATCCGCCAGGTCCCCTTCCACCGCCCGACCACCCCGCTCCCCAGCGGCCCCTCGCCACCCACCTCCCCCCATCCACCCCCCTTCCCCAAAAAAGGGGGAAACCCCATTGGTCCACCGAGCTCGTGGGCACCCAATCACCACCTTGTTGCTGAGGGGCAGCCCAGTGGGGATGGCGAAGGATGGAGGTTTTCCTCCCCTTCCTCCTCCTGTTGCTGGGAGGAGGCTCAGGGCTGCCCTGGCCTCAACCCTTCTTTCTCCTCCCTCCTGCTGCTCCTGTTGCTGGGAGGAGGCTCAGGGCTGCCCTGGGAGGCTGTGGGGCCAGTGAGGAGGAGGAGGAGGAGGAGGAGAAGAAGAAGGAGGGAGCGCTGGGCTTTGTCCACCTCCCAGAGGAGCCTAACGGAGGGGGAAACCCCAAACCAACAAGAGCTTGAACCAAAAAACCAGCTCGCAGCGCCCTTGCAGGTGTGCCCCGAGACGGGCTCCCCGAGCCCCCAGCCCTCTCCAGGCTGCTCAGCCCGATCCTCATCCCTCCCGCGCTCCCCCCTGCTGCGCTGCTCCCGAGCGCGCGCAAAGCCTTTCCCGAGCTTCCCGGGTTGTTCGCAAACGCCCCTTTACAAGGGTGTTCGTGCAGGAGGTGCAGGACTTTTGTTTAAAAACAACCCCCTCCCCCCCCCAAAAAAATATTTTCCTCTGGAGAGGAAAGAAATTACAAG